CGAGAGCGCTCTTCGGTCGCGTCTTCCGGCACTCGCGCATTAATTCTACTCGCGACTTCCTCGCTGGAGAGACGCACGTGGCTTAGAAGAGGTCTTCTGATGATGTTGGGTCCGTGACGCGTTGGGATGGGTGGTGTAAATAGTTGTTAGCAGAAATTGCGTTCTCATTTTGGGCAGAACGTTGGCCTTAGTGTCTGTCGTTTCCTTGTTACGGAAATGAAGTGAAATTGGAGAGAGAGGGTAACTATGTTTTCTGTGTAGACGTGGCTTAAGGCTTAATTTCGACACTTTTAATAATGAGTACAATCCAAATATAATTACGAAATTCATCTTTGTTGAAATATTGCATACTAATACAAGATTTGTGTTCATTGGGTACTCGGAATGCGGGGGACAAAATTCTGTATCCATAACATAGTTTTATGAATGTAGTATTTTTCTGTCCCGTATTTTTAAACCAGATCTCTTTACTAATATGTATGTATGTATGTATGTATATATATATGTATATATATATGTATATATATATATGTATATATATATATATATATATTACGGTTTTTCTAGTTATTCCGTTTGTGGCGATGAGATGGTTAAGGCTGCGGCGACTTAAATCGCTTAGAAGGCGGCTATTGCTAGTTGTGTTGTTGGCAGGACTGTTGGGTTTGACCCTGCTATTTGATTCGCTGCGTTTCGCGAGCTGGGCAAGTTGAACACGACGTACTATATAGTCGTCTACCTTCTTTGCGGAAGTCCCCTTTCAATGTCTCCGAGACTGCCCTCCTCAGCTCGAGGCCATTGCATTCGTTGAAGGTTCAAGGTACTGCGCGTGTCGCAGTCTGGTATGTTTGCTTTTCCAACGGAGATGATATATATGACGAAAGATGGTGAAGAAGACTTAGCATCCCCAGGGGACAGGGAGATCATCTGCGTGTTGCCATTTCTGGATCCTACAGGAAAGTGGAGACCCTAAAGGCGAGAATCTCTTAAATACTTGCAACAAATTTCACGTTACAAATTAACATTTAATCCATTGTAACTCCTAATGAGCACCTGCGTCAATTCGATTGGTTTTACCTACTGTGGCAGGGTGAGCTCTCCATCCGGCCACTCTCCCAAGATCGACGAACACTCTGCCGAGCCACGCCTCTGTAAACGACACGCACGAGGCTATAGTTACTTACTAATGCATCATTACGAGGCGCGACAACCGTACTAGCTGGTCACGCGACGCATACATGATCCAGTAATGACCGCTTTCCTTTACACAATGAAAAGTCGCGCGGGAAGTACAGCTACAAAGATAAGGTAGGTTGTGTGGCGCAACCAGGAATTGTTTCACAGGGGGAGGAGTGCTGTCAGTGTAGTGGCCGGCGGAATTTTTTTGTTGTTTTCTTGAAAAAAAAATCAATTCTGCTGAATATGAAATTAATGATTGCATTAATAAGTTCGCATAGATCAGAAATTGCTGTGACGTATGTAAGCTCCGGCCATTTGAGAAGTGACCATGGTTTCGTTAAATAGTCAGAACTCAGAAAAAAACAACAGAAAATTAAGCAGTTTCGGTTTTGTCCGAAATATTTGATTCAGTTATTACGCCTACTCTCAAACTGCGCGTATCCACTGAATTCTCATTCTCGGTGCGTTACTGATTACGACACAGCTGACGTCATGTAATAGCAAGGCTTAAAGGAAGGTGCCGCCCCTTAAATATTTGCTATTAAAGCATTGCCTTTTAGAACAGCAGTTTTATACGGTTGATGTCAAGGACTGTATACTCTGTTGTAAACTAGGTTATTGCAAAAGTCGTCAATGCTGTTTCTGTTAAAATATTTAATTTATCACAGTTCATTTATCGTAGTGTATTTTAATTGTTGTTTTGAGCAGTGTACGTACTACGGTTTGGGAAACCATTTTGTGTGGATTTGTTTAGCTGTATTTTTCCTGCTGCAAGTCACTAGTTTATTTGTCTTTGTTAATTTTTAGTTATTGATAAGTGCCACCGTTTTCAAATTAGCTATTGGATGTATTTCGTTAATGTAGAAAATGAGTACGAACTATAGTTGTGAATGTTTCATCGGCAGCTGAAGGGGCTGAAACTCCCTCGTCACATTGGGGGCGCCACTCGTAATGTTATATATTATCGTTACATACTATATTAGAAAGCGCCCCATTATTGACTGACACGAAATATGTTTCACCTTAATATAATATTTCCTTTGTATCATTTCAATGACGAGACTATGAGGTTTCCATCCTATCAAAGCAAAGCAAGCTGTAGCGAAATAAGGAGTTCTTTACAAAACATTGGAATCGCGGAAATGGGAAGCGAGCGCCAGTGGGCCGTGGAGCGCTGGCGGTGGAACGGCGCCGCTGGGCTCCGCCTTTGTTTGCAGCTGCGCTTTCGGATTTGCCCTTTCCCGATCTCCGCGGGAGGCCTACTTGCCAGCCGCGGCGGCCGTGCTGCGAGAACCCGAACTTATCGATGGACTGGCGACCTATACTTTGAGGGGGAGGGATCCCTCCCTCAACCCGCCCCTTTGCCCCCGTCCCTGCCCCCCGCCTCCGCCCCGCCTCCGCCCCCGCCTCCGCCCCCGCCCCCCGCCTCCGCCCCGCCTCCGCCCCCGCCTCCGCCCCCGCCCCCGCCTCCGCCCCCGCCTCCGCCCCCGCCTTCCGCCCCGCTCGCCCCCGCCTCCGCCCCCGCCTCGCCCCCCGCCTCCGCCCCCTCCTCCGCCCCCGCCCCCCGCCCCCGGCCCCCGCCCCGCCTCCGCCCCCGCCTCCGCCCCCGCCTCCGCCCCCCGCTCCGCCCCGCCTCCGCCCCCTGCCTCCGCCCCGCCTCCGTCCCCGCCTCCGCCCCCGCCTCCGCCCCCGCCTCCGCCCCCGCCTTCCGCCCCCGCCTCCGCCCCCGCCTCCGCCCCCGCCTCCGCCCCCGCCTCCGCCCCCGCCTCCGCACTCCGCCCCCGCCCCCGGCCTCCGCCCGCCTCCGCCCCCGCCTCCGCCCACCGCCTCCGCCCCCGCCCGCCCCCGCCTCCGCCACCGCCTCCGCCACCGCCTCCGCCGCCGCCCCGCCCCGGCCTCCGCCCCCGCCTCCGCCCCCGCCCCGGCCCCCGCCTCCGCCTCCGCCTCGCCTCCGCCCCGCCTCGCCCCGCCTCCGCCCCCGCCCCGGCCCTTCGCCCTCGGCCCTTGGCGCACGGCCCTTCGCCCCCGATCCTGCCGCTTTGCTTCTGTCCCGGCATTGACCTCCACCTCCGGCCCGACTCACGCCACAACCTTTTACTCACCCTCGACCTTCCCCGTCTCACTTCTCACCATTTTTCTTCCGACCCCGCCATACCCCTTCTCTCCTCATTCTTTTCCACCACGCCATTCACTGTCTGTTACCCTCTCCGCGCTACCCCGACATGCCAAGCCCTGTCCACCCCGTTGTGCTTCGCCCCCGCTCTGCTGTTGGCGGAGACTCGCCTTCTCAGCGTCTTCCGTCCATGGTCCTTTCCCGCCATGCCCCTCTCCTCCCCTGCCCCACGCCACCCCCTTTCCTACCTCACTCCTCCCCCCGCCCGCTCACAACATGCCACACTCTGTCCCGCTTCGCTCCGCCCCGTCCCGCTCTAATGCCGGCGCGAGCCGCTACCCGGTCGGGCGGAGGTCGCGTTTTTCGACGACCCCCTCTCCCCACCTCCGCGCCACGCTTCGCATCTTCCCTTCCCGCTAGCTCTTTTTTTGCAGATTCGCTGTGCTGCCGCGCTCTGGAAAAGGACAATTTCCGACGCTCCACGCGTTTCCATTGTTCCTAATAATTTCCCTTTTCCTCGAGTGCGGGTAAAGATTTGATGTGCTTCGGGCTTGTGAATACCAGTTAAAGTACGTCAGGGATTATTATTTTGATGTGCTCAATGCGCAAGATAATTTTTCATGCGTTCTTGGTTCTTCGATTTGCATTCGAGACAATATAAAGACAGTGTGTGTATACTTCGTCGGTTTGCTTAAATATATGAATAGGAATAGAAGAAATGTTATTTATTGAGATAATGTTGATCTTTTATTTTTCTGTGAAGTTGGCGTTTGTATTTCACAGCCACAAGACCAAATGTTTTTCGTATGAAAATTTTGAGGAATTGTCAGTTTCCTTTCCTACTATTAATTATGATTGAGATATCAGCAATCGTGGATGAGTAACCATTATTTGAGGAACTCGGTTTGATTGCAAGAAGTGTAGTTGCACCTTTTGTTGCGACAAAATATTAAACCGACTTGTCTCGGAAAATCTAATAAGTGTGCTTTGGAGGAGTGCTATTAAAGACCGCCTTCCGCGAAGTAAACGCCTGCAGAGGACCTCTAAGTTCGCTAGTTGCCAATAGCTCGCAGAAGCTTTTTCAGCGATAGGTTTTACAATCGAAACTTTCTTTTCGCGCTTGTTGTTCTTCAAACTCGTTACGATCATCACTCAACCTTGACTCATTTCAAATTAGTTCCTTCTATTTCAGACTTGTTTGGCGTGGGTTTCGTATGTCTTTTGACTTACGTGTTCGTATACCTGAGCAATGTCCATAAAGCTTTTAATTGAGTACTCATGCGTTCGTAACGTGCGAATATATCTAGTTTTTTTAAATATCTCGCCATCGCGAACTAGGAGAAGACGGAGGATTCATTTAAGTCGCGCACATCATTAAAATTAGTTGATTTTCGCCACAATGAAGATGTTATCGAAATGTTTTCTTTCTCGCATTTTATAAAGATGAATCCAGAATTTTAAATGTTTTAATTTGTTTAACGAATCAAATCATAACCGAATATCAATTTAAAAAATATAATCGAAAGATATTTATTTTTCGCTTAAAGGGCAAATTCATCTCTGAAATATTTGATTGCTTAATCTGAAACTGATAAACTTACGTTGTGAGTAGTTTCCTTACGAACTCTGTAACTAAGGACGATGAACGATCTCCAACTACGTCCAACGCGCATGCGAGCAGTCCATAACAACATTGCTTTTGTTTCAGGTTGGAGGAGGAAGACAAGGAGAACGTCCCCATGGAGACCTCAGACTCGGAGACGCTGGCGTTGCAGTCGCGACAGGCTACAGGTGTGTACACTTCCGCCAATGATCCATCTTCCCTCGAATCGAAATAGTTCTTCCATCAAAGTGAACCTGCGCGACACCACTAGAAATTCTAGGCAAGAAGCCGCTATGTGTCGTTTTTGGTCTTAGGTCACTGATCATGCAAGCGTGGCTGCCACGGAGACCCCAGTAATTTACAGTTACTAAATTTGAAGGGCTCAGTGGAACAAGGGGCTATCACTTTTTGACGAAATTGAGTTAGCATTTAATATAACTCCAAATATTATTCTTTTAGTGTATGTTATTTAAATCCAGTATGGACTTAAATGCATGTCTACTGTGTTCAAAAGTTTAAAAGTGTATTGCATTTTATTATGAACGTTCTAGTAAAACTCTCAATATCTCAGAACTGGGTCAATGTGGGATAGCCCCATTGTCCTACCAAGACATTTAATTAAAACTACATGATGCGAAGTTTTCAAGAAATTAATGTTCCACACTTTTCAGTCTATTCGTGATATTCCCATTTTTACGTCGTTTTTATGTATTTCTTGTCGGTCACTATTACGTATCGATCTATGTTGCTTTTCTCCCGTATACCATTTATAACACGGCGAACTCTGACTTTGTCTTGGACATTATTCGCGAACACGTTCATATATAAATCTTCGTCTTGGCCGTCAGCCCTTCTAAACCCTCGCCGTCCGTCTTCCTGTCGTTTATTTCGCCGTTGGATCTCCTCGTGCCCGGGTGCACATACATAACACACGCACGCGCTCGTGTGCGCGCACATCACTGAGAGCGTTATAAAAATTGGCGCTCGTTGTGGTCTCTCGTGCGTTTTGATCCAGATGTTAGCTGTCAGTTTATTTCTACTTGCTTGTGACTCTACTAATTTTGTATCGTATTTCCGTGTGAATATTCTGATGAATATTGTTACGTAATATCTCATTGTGCGAGTTAATTAATACGACTCGTGATTATTAATTAACGCATGTGTTTCATGTAGAGACTGCTGAGCATTATGAAAAATTAAACTCAATTAAGCTCGCATTTACAATGGGATATTATACCTCAACGTAGAGCAACGTCATGTAATGTTGTAATGCTTGTAGTTCATCATGCACCAACGAAACAAGTCTCCGAAGTTTTACTCATACATATTTCTGATCGTCTAGAGGCTTGCGGTTCCTCGTGATCCTGCTCTGTACGAAGATTGTGAAGTTACACCTAAACATCGTGCATGCTCCTGCTAATTCGAAAAAACGATGCCTTAGACCATTAATGTTCCGACAACGTACGTGCGACTTAAGAGGTGTAATATTAGATGTAGAGTAGACTGACTAATTAATGTCTCCTGGAATGTCTACTGCTGTGGTCATTAGTCCCGTGGTGGTGCACGTCGCGACTAGAACGTGAGATCCGACATCGACCTATACGGCGACGTGCGTGGTTTTCCCTTCAGGTATCTCCGCCAGCAGGGCGCCGCCCCAGCCCGAGCAATCTCTAATCTGGCGGTTGGTCTCCCGACATGTGGAGTAGTGTAGTGCGTGTTAGTGTGAGTAAAAGAATGCGAGTGTAAGAGGAGAGGAGGGGACGAAGACTTGGCCCGTTTGTTGAGGCATTGCTCCAGTATTTGCTTAGTATTGATCGTAGAAACCTCGGAAAACAATTCGTCAGATCCTGCCGACCGCTAGAATTCTCCTCCAAGGAGCGGCTGAATTGAATCTTTCTAGCTAGTGTCGAGGATACGCCACTGACAGGACATGAACCTCCCGTCAGAGTTGCTGCAGTGGCAACACTCGTTGCCCTGAGCCACCTCAGCTGGCACAACCCATAGGAAAATCAATCGTGCTGCATGAATGAACACTTAACTACCCTTCACATAATTCAGTTCACGGAAAGCGGGTGCGATCGTTTTTTCAGCTTCTTCTCTTGAAATCCCCTCCAAGGAGGAGAATTCTTCTCCAAGGAGCGGCTGAATTCAATCTTTCTAGCTAGTGTCGAGAATACGCCTCCGTCAAAGACCTCCTGTCAGAGATGCTGCAGTGGCAACACTTGTTGCCCTGAGCCATGGTAGCTGGCACAACCCGTAGGCAAATCAATCGCGCTGCATGAATTAACACTTAACTACCCATCACTTCATTCAGTTCACGGAAAGCGGGTGCGACCGTTTTTTCAGCGTCTCCACTTGAAATCCCCTCGGCAGCGTAGGTTCGCCCTACGCGCCCCAAGTGCCGTTCCGATCCGCGTGTGGGCGCGCGCCGCAGTGTCGGCTCGTCGCGAGAGTCGTCAATGCGCGCGTTGTGACGGCTCGTGGCGGTCGACGCTGTTTTCCCTCACCTCTGCGCTGTGTGTGTGCTCGTCGGAAGCTTTGAAAGGTGAAAGGAAAATATTTAAACGGCTCGTCGAATGAATGAAGCGGCTCATTGCTTATTTTTCTGTAGTTTAACTCCCCTGTCCCGAGCGTTAAACCTGCGCTCGGATGGTTGTGGAGTCCGTTTCATGGGGGTAGACTTATATCCAGTAAATCGTTAAAAATGATTTAAGAATGCCTGATTAGAGAGATAAAAGGTGTTCCACTCTTTGGCATTTTTATAAGCATTTCTGTTCTCCCAACCGATGCAATTGTTAACAAAAGAAAAGATAAAGAAATGGTTAGTCTAACGGAAAGATTTTACTGAATCTGATAATGGCATGAACTGGCGTTTCATGCCATTATACAAGTGAGCTATTTGAACGCCACATAACGATGTATCCCCAGATTTCTTTCACGATTGTTTTATCCACGTACACGGGGCACTGCGATAATGCCACGTTTCTTTGTATGTCTCAGGGAGCTTTTTTCAAACATAACCGCGTGCCACAAGCAGTTCCGACAACACTCGAGGTGAGCCGCAGCACTCGGCACGAACCAGACGTCAGTGGGTGGCCTCGATGGAGCCGTTCCCTCCTTGTACGTCTGTCGGTATCGTCACAGATCACCGGCGCTGTCACGGATACCACTACCGTCTCCACCGCCTTCGCCTGCAGAGTCCTACCGTTGTCGCCACCACCGAACGCACAGTTGCCTCCTCTCGCTGCGTACCCGCTGCCTCAGCCCCCTGTATTGCTTCTCGTCACCACTGCTGCCACAGTCATAGCCACCGCCACTTGCCCTCTCTTCATACCGCCACTAGGGATGCGACATCGCTGTTGTTTTTAAAACATTGATGTATTTAAAGAAACATCTCTTTTTTTCGTTTCCGATGTTTTGTTTCTAAATGAAAAGTTCTCATAATCCCAAAACTGTAAAAGTTAAAATACGAAATAATAGCTGATGGTTCGTTCATGTGTTGAACCCAAAGGAATCTTGTTTGTATCACTTTCTTCGACGAAACTCGCCCGAGGTGACCATCCGCTTCTCCTTATATTTCCTCTCTCTTTGTATTAATTTCGCACTTTGAGATATGATGAACAAGTGCCCCTCCTTCTCGTACCCTTATTCGCCGAACACTGTCAAATTAAATTGTAATTCAGACAATGTAATGTAATGAATACCAAATTTTAATGTTAGCGGCTACTAAAATAGTCTTAAAACATCGCTGTTGAAACAGATGGTTTTTATTCGATGTATTTTTAACATCGATATTTTAATGTTGAGCATGGATGTTTTGTTACCGATGTCGCATCTCGAACCGCCACCAGTTGTCGCCCGTCTTCTCTGTTCAAAGCTTTCGCCGCCAATACATCCACCACCGCATCTCCACCTGGCTACCGTCACCACCGCAGCCCCCCTCCCCCTTCCCACCAAGACCCACCAATGGCACCGTCGGGGCGGCGCGCCGCTGAAGCCACACGTGGCAGTCCGGCCGTGGAACCTGTCGGGACTTTTTAAACGGCGCGG